TTGTTATTTGAAAGGCAGTTAATTAGCTTGACCTAAGCTTTGATGGACGAATTGTAATTGAAGGCATCAGCGTGCATGAGAATGGGGACAGCTGAGGTTACACTGAAGACTGGAGAGTTTCTTTCTGCAATTTCTCTACAGACTGTGTCAGAGGCAAACAAGACCAACAAAGAAAATATAAAAAACAAACAAGATTTGAAAAATAGTCAGCGAAATCATAGCTTATGTTCTTGCAAAATTCCTCCAGGTACCCTGCAGCACAAAAGGCTGATGGCTCAGTTTCCTAGGGACCCACACCACAGCTCAGTGGTTCTCCATCTTGGCTACAAATTAGCATCATTTGAGAGGTTTCTAAATAGTCTCCAAGTCAGGCAGGAACCCAGACCAGTGACATTAAAATCTCTGGAGGTGACATCCAGGAACCATTATTTTCTAAAATCTCCCCCTGTGATTCTAAGAGATCACCAAGCGGAGCCTACAGACCAGCAGCATTAGCACCACATAGGAATGTGTTTGGAATGCAGATTCCCAGGCCTGCCCCAGCTCTACCTAATCAAAAACTCTATAAGTAGAGCCCAGCAATCTGCATTTGTTTAGACAGAGTCTCACTCTGTTACCTAGGCTGGAGTGCAATGGCAAAATCTCAGCTCACTGCAACCTCTACCTCCCGGGTTCAAGTGATTCTCCTGCCTCAGCCTCCTGAGTAGCTGGGACTACAGGTGCCCGCCAGCAACCTGGCTGATTTTTGTATTTTTAGTAGATACAGAGTTTCACCATGTTGGCCAGGCTGGTCTCGAGCTCCTGACATCAAGTCATCCACCTGTCTCGGCCTCCCAAAGTGCTGGGATTAAAGCAGCATTCTGTATTTTAACAAGGTCACCCTAAAGCACTCTAAAGATTGAGAACCATTGCCTTAGAACAAGATGGGGGATGGTTTGGGCTTGGGAGGTTTTCAAAGCAGGTGTTTCCGGTTGCTTCTTTGACCATAGAAAAGTCCATCTGGTTGTAATTAACAAGCCTTCTCAGTGAACTCCCTATTATGAATTAACTGCAGACATTATTCTTAATTTAATTTGCTGTATGTATTTATCAGTTTTAAGCCAATTAACATGTGGATCTTCAAATGCTGCCTTTCATAATTCTATTCTCACATGGTCTTAAAGTTGTAAAGACTCTCTAACAGTAATTGGTGGCAGAATTATTTGCCAGTTGTGATCATTCTGGGTTTTTGGAAATAACATCATAGTATCAGGTCCAGGTCTGTCTGTTTTCTGGGGCAGGGTTTTATGCATTCATAAGTGGTTTAGGCTAATTTAAAAAGAAATGGTTGAGCATCTAGTTTGGATCTGTTACCAAAGAATTCCTCACTACCCCTGTGATTAGAATGGAGCTAAATGCTAGGTTTGTATAAGAACAAGTACCTGAGTCACTTGAGCCCAGGCAGCTTAACCCCTGACATATCTCTGCACAGACTCCAAAGCCTAGAAACCAGGAAAGGCCACAATCTTTGATTCTCATTCATATCTGATCTCTCCACAAAGTAAAGGAGAGCCGCCATGGTTAGCCACGGGAACGCCAAGCCTAAACCTCCAGAGCCCCATATCCTTGGGCTGCAATTTCTTAACGAGGTGGAAAAACCAATAAACTCCTATCCAGGACCACTGAGTGTGCACCTGCCACGTGCCACATGCTGTCAGCCACTCTATGCTCCTGATCAGTGATTCAACAGACCGCAGATGTCAGTGGTGTTTCTCACTACTTTGGAAAGAGAAAGACTTGACTGAGCAAATAAGGAACCTATCCAGGATCATGTGGCCGGGAAGTAGCAAAGCAAATCTGGAATCAACCCTGGGGTGGCAGCGGAATCCCAAAATCTGAGCTCTTTCTGCTCCTCACACCTGCCTCCTGAGACTGTGGCTCAGGGTGGGAGATGACTGCCCTTCTGGAAAAGGGAGTCAGTTAAAGCTTTGGAGCCAGCTCATTGGCATCTGTTCATCAGAATAAGCAGGTTATAAAGAGTCAAGCCCCACTGGTCAAAAGATACTAAGTTCTGGTGGCATTTATTCAATAAACGCTCATGGCCAGCTCCTGTGTTGCTGCATGCCGAGCACCAGGCTAGGTGGGCGGGGCAGGGATGGGGTAAGGGGCCTGGAGATCCTGATCATGATAAGGTCAGCAGGGGTCGTGGTGTGCACAGTGCTGGCCCAGCCCCACACATCAGAGCAGACTTCAGGAAGGAGGTGAGAGCTGGGCTGAATTCTAAGCATGAGTAGGCATCACTAAGAAGTTTCATGAGCCAAGAAGGAGGTGCAAGTCTGAGCTGGAGATGCACAGCGTGTGGAGGCTCTGGGGCCGGCAGGGACCATAGGGCATAGGGTCTGGACACAGTGGCAATTGCAGTGAAATTGCAGCCCAAGGATTTCGGGCTTTGGGGGTTTAGGCTTGGCGTTCCTGTGGCTGACCATGGTGGCCCTCTTCTTTACTTTGCAGAAAGATCAGACATGAATGAGAATCAAAGATTGTTCGTGGCCTCTCCTGGTTTTTAGGCTTTTGAGTCTGTGCAGACACAAAATTGGAGAGGGATGCAGAGATTCTCAAATTTAGGGCCTGTATCCTTGCAGAAGACCAGGAGTTCCACCTTGAAGGCGGGGAGGAGCCAAGGAAGGCCTTCAAGATGGGGACTGCCATGACGAGATTACAGTCATCAGTGAGAGTGATGCAGATTTTGGGGTGATTGGTGTTGCCACTCAGTTCACTGAGGCAGGGGCCAGTCTCTGACAGCCCAGGGTGGGGTGTTAAGTTTGAGGAGCCAGGGGATGGCCAAAGGGAACCATCTCCTTAGCAGGTCATTGGACACATGGCTCTGGAGCTTGAAGAGGACCCTGGGTCACGGCCATGCCGGTGGACTGGAGCAGGTGCGGTCATCCTGGGAGAGAGGAGATTGGGAAGAGGAGATAGCAGGTGATAGAACTCTGAGACACAGCCAATTTCAGAGGTGGGTAGAGGAAGAGGGCCCTGGAAAGGTGCCAGATGTCTTCACCTGATGCTAGGTTCAGCGTATGTTTTATATAGTGAAGCCAATTCAATGAAGAATTGGCTCTAGGTCTAAGCTGGAGAGGAGCCAGGTTTCTGAGGTTATTGGTCCTACACAAGATGATGTGAAATGTCACAGTCCCCATCCTGGCTGGGAAAGACAGAGCTGTCCAAGCGTGTGTTGGGGATTTGTGTTTCCATAGCGATTCTGGCCATAAGCTGTCTTCCCAAACACACCCTTCACCTCTAGTTACAACAGTCATCCCGAGGGTGCCTCCAGGCTGTGTTCTCCTCAGCTACTTTAAGCTCCTAAGAAGTGAGTAAGGGACAAGCGGGGTGGCTCATGCCTGTAATCCCAGCACTTTGGGAGACCAAAATCCACCACTTTGGTGGATCCTGTCAGCCCAGGAGTTCAAGACCAGCCTTGGCAACATAGGGCAACCTCACCTCTGCAAAAAATACAAAAATTCACCAGGCATGATGGTGCATACCTGTAGTTCCATCTTCTCTGGAAGCTGAGGTAGGAGGATCACCTGAGCCCAGGAGGTTGAGGCTGCAGTGAGCTCAGATCACACCACTGCACTTCAGCCTGGCGACAGAGTGAGACCCTGTCTCAATAAAACAGAGAAAGAAATAATTGAGTGGGAGCACTTACATGTGATAAGCTCCGAGTGGTCCCCTCCAGCTTGAGTTTGGAGTGTGACGTCAACAACTTGGCCTCAGGGCTTTTGTTTCCCAGCAGAAGCTGGGGGTAGAGGCTGGCATTTGCTCAAACCAAAAAAAAAAAAAAAGAATAAGATCTGTTTTTTAGCTTACCAATGATCTCAAGGTCACCTAGATAGGGTTTCCACAGCATACCAAATCCCTGACAGAATTTCACAGTTACTTGGAGACAATTTTTCCAATTCCCAGGCCCATTATGAGTATACAGAGACAGTGATATCAAGATTAAATGATAGGGAAAGTGTCACTCTCTGCATAGCCAGCAAATGGTGAATGGAAATAAAAGGCAATCCATGTATCCATCGATCAACCCAGAGAGGGCATTGTGTAGACCCATGACGGCACACACCAGGGACGAGGGAGCATGTCAGCTCACCCCTCACCTGAGGTTTTAAGATTGTGTACGTGTGTGTGCGTATGTGTGGGCAAGGAGGGAAAACAGCACAGCTGCAACACTGGCCTCTTCAAGGGAGCTCTCTGTAAAATCTCCCTAGACATTCCGAAGTCCACCATGTGACAGAGTGGATGTTTCATTCAAATGAATGTAAGTGCTCATAGAGAGATGCTCCATGGTGAAGTAGACCACCCATTGCACAGTACCTCCAAGGGCGCCCTGGCAGCACCCCAGTCTGACTGGTCATGCTTAAGATCTCAGGAACTAGTTGTGTGAAATATGTGATTTTTTTTTAGGTCCATAGGAGGTCAAGGATAGGGATATTTGTCCCCCTCTTGTTTATGGAGTTAGCAGCCACAGCAGTGTTCATCTCTGGGAGAGAGGGCAGAGAAAAGAAGTGGGTATTCACCATGGGTTTTATACAACCATTAGAAGTAAGGGAATGCACACATCCAACAACACAGGTGAACCACAAAAACGCAGTTGTGAGGAAAAGGAAGGAGACTGAATGAGCTGAATGACTTGATACCATTCAGGTAAACTAAAATGCACACATCCAACCCCATACAACCACAATATGCAGCAATGCATATTAAAGACACTCATTCTGATGGTCACCTATAGGGGTGGAGAATAGAGGTGGTGGACGGAAATAGAAGGGAATCAATGTATCCATTCATCGATCAAGAGAAGGCATTGCACAGATCCAAGATGGCAGAAGCCACGGCCTGGGGAGCATGTCAACTTACCCCTCTCACGTGAGATTTTGAAATTGTGTACGTGTGTGTGTGTATATGGGGTTTTTGGCCAATATGTACTTTTTGATTTGGGGTTGCATTTTGCTTTGAAGAGGTGCGCCTGGGAAGTTGGAGCTCCAGCAGGGGATCCTTGATGCCCAAGATGATCCTGTCTAACGCCACAGCAGTGATGCCTCTTCTGAACAAGCTGTGGCAGGAGACCATTCAGCAGGGAGGCAACGTGTCGGGCCTGGCCCGCAGGTCCCCCCGTGGCGATGACAGCAAGTTGGAGGCCCTCTACGTCCTCATGGTGCTGGGCTTCTTTGGCTTCTTCACCCTGGGCATCATGCTGAGCTACATCCGCTCCAAGAAGCTGGAGCACTCTCAAGACCCGTTCAACGTGTACATCGAGTCTGATAGCTGGCAAGAGAAGGACAAGGCCTACGTCCAGGCTCGGGTCCTGGAGAGCTACAGAGCGTGTTACGTCTTCGAAAACCAGCTGGCTGTAGAACAACCCAACACACACCTTCCCGAGACGAAGCCTTCACCATGAACCCCACCACTGGCTAACACTGGACACATCCTGCCTGGCAACCTGATTTTCTAATCATATTCCTCTCATACTCTTTACTGTAATGGGTACCACTGGATTTCTTTTTTGCTATTGTAAGGGGTGAGGGGTGGATTAGTGACACTGTTTCACTGTTTTCTAAAATCACATTCTTCTGTGACAGACTGTCACTGGTTCCCCCATATCTGTCCCTGCCTTGTTAAATTTAGCAGAATCCCTGAGGACATGGCCTCTGAGAATAGAAGCTGCATTTTCCAGACTCCCTTGCAGCTAGCAAGGTTGTGTGACTAAGCCCTGGCCAGTAGCTATGGAAGTGAAGATGGCAATGTCCAAGGAATTCTTGGAAAGAAAAGGACGTGCCCTTTACTTCCCTGGTCCTGCTTCCCAGTGGCTGGACGTGGAGGGAGTGGAGAGCAGCTCTGAGTCTGGAAAATAACCAGGCACTCAAAGAACCACACACATCTGGGCCTGGGCGATGTGGTGGAGCAGGGTCCTCCTTACCACCCACAGGCCTGATGTACAGGAGAGAGAAACCCACTCCACTCTTCCTTAAGCCACTGTTATTTTGATCTCTGTTGAGGCAGGAGAATTGCCTGAACCCAGGAGGCGGAGGTTGCGGTGAGCCGAGATCGCGCCATTGCACTCCAGCCTGGGTAACAAGAGTGAAACTCCGTCTCAAAAAAAAAAAAAAAAAAAAAAAAGTAGCAGAATCAATGCCCTTACTAATACACCTACCTTACAGGACTGAACCTAAAGGCATGACACTTCCATACTTGTCACAAGCACACACCGATTCTGCCCTGGTCACTTCTCTGCTCACTCCTATGGTGCTATCCTCCTGCCCTTCTGTCTCACACTCCTCCCTTGCACACACCCTTCACACATCTCCCCAAAAACACACAGACACATACACTCATATACATAGACACACACACACACACCTCAAGCTAGAAAGAACTCACTTCCTACAGGGCTGAGATGGAGGAGGAAAACATGCCCCCTTCAGAATGCATAGCAAGGGGAAGGTGCTTGGTCACTGTGGGAGTAGGGAGAGGTGCCCCCACTCCCTGAGAGCCAGGGGAAGGAGTGGCTGTGGGCAGGGAGCAATGTGTGGCACTGGGGTGGCAGGTCCTTTTGAGGTGATGGGCCTGCTTTGTGAGTTGAATTGTAACCCCTCAAAAAGACAGGTGCCTTCAATGTGATCTGATTGGGAAATAGGGTCTTTGCAGATGATGTAGTTGAGATGAGGTCATTGGGATGGGCCCTCTTCCGATGTGACTGGAGTCCTTATCAGAAGAGGGGAATTTGGACACAGACACATAGGGAGAACACCATGCCATGACAGAGGCCCCAAACCAGGGAAGGTCAAGGATGGACGCGCATTCCCATCCCAAGAAGCTGGGAAGAGGGCAGAAAGGCTCCTCCCCCACAGGTTTTGGAGGAAGCACGGCCGTGCTTGAATTCAAACTTCCAGCCTCCAGAACTGTGAGTCAGTGAGTATCTGCTGTTGAGGCCACCCAGCTCGGGATAGTGCAGGGAACTCATACAGCACCTCTCACCCACCCAGAGACAGAGCCATGCTGCCTTCTAGTGGGGCACCCGGAGGAGCCGCCCCAGCAGATAGAGAGGGCCTCTGTTCTACCACCTTCCTTGAGAGGGTCTCCAGCTGCCATCTGTAGCTTCGGAGTCCTCTGCAACGCGACATCCTGAAAGCTTAGCTGCCTGGGCATTCCTGAAGAGTGTGGAATATTTAAACGAAACATAATTTTTTAAAACCTGCACCTAAGTTAAATTAAAAGCAGCATGTGTGCATCTTTGGCCATCCTCACATGGATCCACATGGTCTCATGAGGTTCCAGTCCTTGTTTCATATAATAAACACAGCATGGCTCAGCCCCTCAGTTACCACAGTCCTTGAGATGAGTGGTCCTTTGGGTCACAAAGTCCTTTGAAAATCCAGTGAGAGCTGTGGTCTTCACCCCACCCGAGTGATGCATATGGACACCACACCTTGCCTACCGTGTCCAGGGTTCATGGGCCAGTGGCAGCCCAGCTATGCCTCGCGCATCTCACAGCCCCTGTGCGAGCCAGACCCGTCGGAGGCAGTTGCATATTCCCAGACTGAAGGCAAGGCAGGTTTGCAGAGAGAGACCCAGAGTGCACGTGACCCGCCGCGTGATCCCTGGCTCACACTGACTTTGATATTCCAGGCACACGGACTGGCTTTTTATCACCACCTTATTTTCCCCACTAAGATTCCTGTGCCTTTTAAGGCAAAGGGAGAGCCCTGTGGCTTTAGTCTTCCCAGGCCTTAAAGGGCCTCTGTCTTCACTCACAAACCTCTCTTCCTCCCTCCCCTTCCTCTTCATTTTAAAGGGGGAGAGGGAAAAGTAAGCGGAGCCACATATTTTCAGACCCTTGTTACTATATTTTAAAAATGGGCTTCACACACAGAGTCCTTGCCATGCACCATGTACTGCTCTAAGCTCTTTAAAGATAGAATCTCAATGATTGTTTTGCAGGCAATACTCTATGCATTCATTAGCTAGGACAACAATGCTTCTGCAGTATTGAGATTTTGTTGAAAAATTAAAGCCATTTATCATGATCTGTGATGTGTGTTCGCAATATCACTATGATACTTCTAGAAGATGGTTATCAGTTCTTGCAATGCTCTGATGAGGCAGCCCCATGGACTTGGGAATATGGAAAGTCAGATTGCATGTGGATAATGAAACTCTGCCGTCAACACACAGCGGGTCAGAGCAGAGAGATATGGGTCCCCCTGATGCCTGCCGGCAGAAAGCAAGTGAAGCCCTAGGTGGAGACAGTGGCCACCTGTAGCACCCTCCCGCCTTGTAGAGGGGAGGCTGCTGTGCTGTGGGCACAGTCGGGACAGAGCAGGGAATGTGGGCACAGTCGGGACGGAGCAGGGAATGTGGGCACCGCCTAGATGGAGCAGGGAATGGCGGAACCATCGAGACGGAGCAGGGAATGTGGGCACTGTCCGGATGAACTTCTGGGTATTGTAGGAGAAGTCGTGAACTCTCCTAATGTTTACACGTTGGCAACTAATTTGCTCTTTGAAACCTGTGTGGGTCAAACAAAATATAACCTTGAGCTGGACTCTGCCCAGAGCCCACCAATTAACTGCCTGTGCTTTACAGAGGACAAATGGCTCCCAGCCAGCCCCATGCCACACTTGAGGGAAGCATAAACAGAGTCAGTGCTTGGGTGCCTGTAATCCCAGCACTTTGGGAGGCAGAAGTGGGCAGATTGCATGAGGACAGGAGTTTGAGACCAGCCTGGCCAACATGGTGAAACTCCATTTCTACTAGAAATGTAAAAATGAGCTGGGCGTGGTGGCATGTGCCTGTAATCCCAGCTGCTCAGGAGCCTGAGGTGAGAGAATTGCTTGAACCCAGGAGGTGGAGATTGAAGTGAGTCAAGAGTGCGCCACTGCATTCCAGCCTGGGCAAAAGAGTGAGACTTTATCTCAAAGAGAGAGAGAGAGAGAGAGAGAGAGAGGAAGCCTGCTCAGCCACAGTGGCAGGAACAGGCACTTCCCTGAGTGTGGTCCTGGGGCTAAGGGACCCAGCCTCATAATGAAAGGCTGTATCAGGCTGTCCTCACCTGACACTGTGAGAACATCCCATTCATCTGACCCTCCCATTCAGATTCTGGATTCCACAACCTTTGCATCTCCAGGCCAGGCTGTGTGAGCACAAAATAATGCATGTGTCTCTGTTGAGAGTGTCCTCCATCTAAAGTCCACATTGGTGTATGGCTTCTCTATGGGCACAAATGAGATGTAAATACTAGATTGGGCGAGGAGAGATGAGTAAAGGCTGCCAGTGCTTGAAGACAAAAGAAATGGACATAAAGTTATGAATGGGTGGATAGGGACTGGTACTTTTTTTTTTTTTTTTTTTTTTTTTTGAAATAGGATCTGGCTCTGTCACCCAGGCTGGCGTGCAGGGCTGCAATCAGCCCACTGCAGCCTCAACCTCCCAGACTCAAGCCATCCTCCCCACTCAGCTTCCTGAGTAGCTGGGACTGCAGGCACAAGCCACCATGCCCAGCTAACTTTTTTTTTTTTTTTTTTTGAGACTAAGTCTCACTCTGTCACCCAGGCTGGAGTGCAGTGGTGTGATCTTGGCTCATTGCAAACTCCGCTCCCCAGATTCAAGCAATGCTGTCTCAGCCTCCCGAATAGCTGGGATTACAAGTGCCTGCCACCACACACAGCTAATTTTTGTATATTTAGTAGAGACAAGGTTTCACCATGCTGGCCAGGCTGGTCTTGAGTTCCCACCCTCAGGCGATCCACCCACCTCAGTTTCCCAAAGTGATGGGATTACAGGCATGAGTCACTGCACCCAGCTTCTGTTAAGTCTTTGAGTAAACAGAATCATTGGGTACATAAAACAAATCTAAATACAAAAAAATGTATTTATTTATACAAATAAATTCCAAAATACTGGAATTGATCTGAAGGTGCAGTGAAAGGCAATCTGGGTACTGCTGCCCCCTGGTGGTCACTTTGAGGATATTGCTTAATGCACAGGGAACCCTGAAGACCCGGCAGCCAGCAGGTGCCTGTTGAGGCTGGCTGAGGGGCTCTGAGTGCCTTTAGATGCCCTTGGGAGGCTACACTTCTATTCAGCCGTCAAGTTCAAGGAGATGGGACCCATCGTGGGCACGACTTCCCAGCCCCCAGGACTGTGAGAAAGAAACATCTGTTGTTTCAAAGCCACCCAGTCTATGGTAGCTTGTTACAGCAGCTGGAATGGACCAAGGCACCTTCTTTTCCATCTTTCTTATTTCGCTTCTCATGCAGCATCAGCCTTTGAGTGTGTGACCTCAGCTTCTCCGTCAATTCATAAATTCCTGAGTGGGAGGGGTTCAGTCCTGCTAGTTCTTGAGGACTTGCTCAATAGCTAAAACTGGAGATTTCTCTCTCTTTTTATAAACCAGAGATATTAGAAAGACCACACTTTAAGGCAAAAAAGGCAGAAAGCTTAGATCCGATGTATGCTCAGCAATCAGCCCTAAGAGGTGTCTC